AAAGGGACAAATAAGCTGTCTCCCAAGGGCCCGGGAAAGGGAGAAGAATAGCTCCTCTGTGAGCGTGGGGCCGGGCGGCTCTGGACAGTGATGCCAGTGTTCCGGGCTTGGCGACCAGCTCACACACACATCACTGTTAGAGGCTCCTGCATACATTTCTGCTTTCTGTGAATCAGTAAGCAGCGATATCAAAACCAGTGAGCAATTCTGTTCTCTAATATGTTGCAAAAATGCCTTTGTTCATTTACCTTTGGCAATATATGTAATTAAGTGTGGGATGGTTATAACCTTGTAGCCCTGGCTTGGGCCCTGGATCATAATTCAGTTGCTGGGTTTCCAGGGCATTTAAGAAAGACAGATAAGATGCTCCATAGTGACTATTCTATGCAAGCTGGTGATGGATTTGCCCTCAATGCTTCAGCAATCTCGTTTCAAGGTAGTCATAGTTCTTATTGACTACTGTTTGATTAGCCAAAACAAGAAAAGTGGGACCAATATTTTATACTTATGAATTATGTGAGTGCTTCGAACATACAAGAAGTCCAAATTATTTATGGGTTCATTGAGAGCTTTGGTTCACACCCTAGAAGAAATGTCATGTATAATCTTTTCACTGAGTTGCCTTTAGCTCAGTTAATTGGGGTAAATGTCACAAGCCAGTTGCCATATTGATGAATAGTTGTTGGCGGGTCCATAAATAAGGGAAGATAGAACAAGCAACGAGCCTATTTTGAGGGTATCAAGAGGGGAATATAACCAAGTATAGGAATAAAAGGAGGTGGAAAGAAATGAATGTCATATATAACTTCATGAAAATCTTTACTCCTGGTCTCATTTGGTTGTGTGGGGAATTGTGAATTTATATGCATTGTAAGATCCTTGTCAGACCCCTAAGAAGAAACATGGACAGAAGAAACATTTTAGAAGGGAAGAAACACCCACATCATTAAAATCTGAAGAGCTGTAACTTAAGACACAGCCAGGAATGTTTAAGAACACGAAATGTGCCTAACTCTTTGGACAGACTAGAATTTTTCGAGAGGCACTTGGCATTTTGCAGTTCTCCATCTGTTCTAGAGACACATGCTTTGCAAGTCTTTGCTCCTTATCCTCCCTTCTCTCAGACTCCGGGTTTCTTGGCATGAGTATGGGCCAGAATCATAGATTCGGTTAATCCCAAAATGTTAGCAATGGAAGGCAGAGGTCAGCTCGTGCTTCTTCCTTGGGCCCTAGGTGAGGACAGCATAGCTGAGAGATGCTCATGTGTCAGCTCCAAGCCACACAGAACATGGGTGGCAGAGAGAGGATCACAAACCCTACTTCCTCACTCCTTAGACCAGAGCTCCCTCCACTCCCCTCCAATAAAGAGAGAGGAACATACAATTTTGGGATGAGGGTCTAGAATCTCTCTCAACAGTCAAGCTGACCCACGAACAGAGACCTCATATCTTAGGTCCATTTGCCAGTCTGCAAATACCAGCAGGCGTGCAGCCAGCTGTGTGCACCATGAAGCTACTTAGAACCCTATTAACAAATCACAGAGAACAAAAGCTAAGTCCAGTGTTGGGTAGAGAAGCCATGTCTCCCCCACCCCGCCCCAGCTGCTGGAATTCCTTAACAGACCCCGTTAACAGATCACACGTCACAGAGCTCTAGCGAGTTCCCATTTCCTTCCCACAGCCTTTCCACATTGAGGTGAACTTAGCCTTTTGGGTGTGTTTGCATTGCTTGTGGATGGCATCATGCTTTTCATCCATGAGACTTACCAGTCTGTCATGTTTAGCCTTTACATTCTGGCTGCCTAGACTTGCCAACTGAAGAAGTAATTGTTAACAGGGGCTTTTTTGCTCCATTCCCCCACCACCAGCACCAGACAAGCAGAGTGAACTTTCTAAACTTAAGGCCATTTATTTTTATTTACTATAAGCTGCTCTAACCTGTGCCACTGTAACTATGATTGAGCACTTCCTTGGCGCCAAGGTCTGTGCTAAGCATTCTGGGTAATCTGACTCACCTAATTTCCTCAACAGCCTTAACAGAGTCACATAATTATTCCATTAAAAAAATAAACAGGGTTATCAAATTCCTCAAACAAAATAAAAACAGAGTTGTAGGGGAAAATTTTATGCTACTTTGTTAAGTCCATGCCTGCTTGTTTTAATTTTAGTTGTGACAAAGTCAAGGGTTTAGATTAATCTTCAAAATCTTCAAGCAAAATTATGTTCTAAATCTGGAGTGGAAAGTTACTTAAAAGCCTGTACCTTGTTAACCAGATGTGAGATTGATATAAGGTTATTGAACAAACATTATAACCTGTCATCAGAGAAATGCAAATCCAAATGACAATGAAATACTACTCTACACCCCCAAGAATGGCCAATCTCAGAAAGATGAGAAACAAGTGTTTAGTGAGGGTATGGAAAAAGAGGAACACTTATATACTGCTGGTGGGAATGTAGACTGGTCCTGCCTCTATGGAAAATGGTATAGAGGTTTCTCAAAATATTAAAAATGGATCCATCTTATGATTCATCTCCTAGATATCTACCCAAAGAATAGAAAACACTAAGGAGATAATATGAACTCCTATGTTCATTGCAGCATGATTTACAATAGGCAAGATATAGAAACAGCCAGAGTGGACTTGCTTTTCTCTGTGTCTACCATTTATCAAGATGTACACAAATATCAGCAGCTCTTAGTCTTGATCCTGAAATCCCTAGTGATTTTTATCCTTTAACCCAATAACCTCCCTTGTAGTTGGATAAATATTTGCATACATAGACACTCATATGACTTAAATGACTCATATGACATGCCACAAAAAGTTCCCTTGGAAAAAGTAGTGGCACATAAAGCCTGTATGTAATCTGAGTGTGGAAGTGATATAAAGGAAGCACAGGGCTTTGTGATTGTTCAAACAGCTTATAATTTGCCTGGGACAAAAAATTATTCGCCCCTAAAGATATGAGATGAGCTTTAATGAAGTGATTATTTTTACCATTACATTTGTGAGCAGTAGGCACTGGAACAGGGTCCCTTTCAATTTTTGAGCTCCTTTCTTATGGAAGGATCTGCCTTGTTTGGTCCACCCACTAGTCAGTGAGTTCACGAAAACAGGATAATGAACAATTAGCAGGTGCTTAGAGTTCACTGGCTACTTACACAGCACTAGTCTGTTTTATTTCTGTATGTAGTAAATATCAGTGACATCTTATACATATCAAGCAAGGTCTTGGCCTCAGTGTGAGACCTCATCTCTATTTCAGAACATCCACAGAAGTGTGGCTCTTGAGCAGTTGGCCACACAGCAGAATGTCAGTAGATGAATCTCAGATTTTTTTAAAATTGTACAATATAGTCCTCAGCACACACTGAAATCCATAAGACATGAGCATGCCCATATGTAGTACTTTTGACTTAGCACAGGAGATAAACAATGAGCAGTACACACATTCAGTACAATTATGATATAGCTGCTAGTTTAAAGTGGAATTTCTAACCTCAGAGACTCCTGCCACCTATGTGTTTATGTTTGAGTTTAATAGACATGAACTTCCTTTAGAAAAATAATTAGAGTCTTTCTGCATTTCTGCAGAAGTCATTCAGTGGAACAATTACTTCAGGAATATAAAGCAATAAATATACTTGTTAAACAAGTGACATTGGGACAGTAGCCTTTGCATACAACTTTCTATTTATTGAATGCAAGTACTCAAGGGTATTTCCTTGCTGGAAGGGATGGATTTTCTCAGAGTTCAGCATGCATTATTGTGCAGACCCTGTGGCTGCCTAATATCACATATTTGCAAAGCAGCTGCTTGGGATAGAGGTGGGGTTGAGGCATGAGAAGAGAGATGCGACCTCCATCTAAAACTAAAAGCCTTGGGCCTCCCCGGTGGTGCAGGCGGTTGAGCACAGCACTGTGAAGCTGTCCACAGACTTGCAGCGTGGGTTCGATCCCAGCTGGCCAGTGAGAATCCCATATGGAGAAGCAGACCTCTCCTGTCTTGCCCGCTGCTCCCCTCAGCAGTGTATTTCAGTCAGTCTGCCTGTTCTGTTCCCCACTCTTTCTCTGGTGAATCCTCTCACCTTCCGCGCATTTGGCCTGTACCCCGGTTCTTGTATAAATAAAAAAATCTTAAAAAAAAAAACAAAACTAAAAGCCTCTTCCTAGCTACATGTGCTCATCAGCAATGCACATGCTCACCTTGTCCTATGACTTCTTGGTGAGATATAACTAAGAATTAATGAACTCAAAAGCAATAAAACTTGAAATAAAACTAGAAGATGAAATAGGGCCTTCATCTCTATTTTAGAGATTTTATGATTTTATGCAATAGTCTCTTATCACTGAGACAGACTCCAGAAGATTAAGTAGTTTGTTAGAGGTCACAGTCAATGTCACCGCCAAGATCCTTTCACAACTCCTAAGCCTGTGTATTTCTGCCACTTCATGCTCTGTGGATAGGGTAACCATAGTCACCGCTTTTCTACCCAACTTATCTCTACCCAGTTCAAACCACTGAAGCAAAAAAAGGGAATTCAGCAGTTTACAACTAGAGACTTGAGGTCTCCATCAATGTCCTCAGCTCTCTGCTTGTGTGTTTTAGCCTGTTTTTTACCATGTGCTGGGCCAGGTAGTCTTTGGAAACTCCAGATACATTCTAAATCAGCCTCACAATGTCTCAAGCAAAGTCTTGCCTGATACATTTTATTTTGCCAAAGTCCCAGGAAAACCACCAATTGGTTCCTTTTGGATTGGACACTCATTCCTGAACCAGTGTTGCACAGGGATGGCAGTCTGATTCGCCAGCCCATGCGGGCATCTGTGGCAAGCTCATTACTTCCAACCCCATAGAATGGACTACCATAAGAAAAGGGGTTATATAATTAGGAGGAGGACAGGGATTTTAAAAAGGCACAAGCCAGAAATAACATATTATAATCATATCTGAAAACAACGTCACGAAAGGAAATACCTAAGAACAGAAACTCACCAAACACAGGAATAACAACAGTGGAAATGGTACTGCTTGTCTTCTTTGAAATACTTTTGTCAATATCTGTAATGACAAAGATAAAAAAATCCATTTCTGGAGATGGAAAAAAGATTGATTCACTATGGTTTAGGTCAGGATAATTGCTTTCATTAACACTCAATATATAAAATATTTGATCTGCTTAGGACAGTATTTGGCCCTTAGGAACGCCAATTCCCTTTCTTTGCACACAGTGTACATATGTAATTATTCACTTGATCTGTGTCTAGCCCATTGTCATCAGCTTTTATCACCAGTCAGTGTCATTATGTTATGAAGTCTCAATAAAAAGGCAAAATACTATAAATGATTGCCCAGTTTTGATTTTTTAATGTTCAAGTTTTCAGATTTTCACAACTCCCCAATGACCTGCTACAGCTCTTTGTGATTTCATAGCCTCTAATTCTGCTCCCCAACCTCAACATTACAGTCAGCTAGCATTATTTTGGTTTTATTTTTTTTAAAAAGATTTATTTATTTATGCATAGAAGAACTGGGGTACAGGCCAGAGGTGTGGGAGGTGAGAGGATTCACCAGACACAGAGTGGGGAACAGAACTGGCAGATTGACTGAAATGCACTGCTGAGGGGAGCAGCAGGTAAGTCAGGAGAGGCCTCCTGCACCATGTGGATTGCTCCCTGGCCGGCTGGGGAATCGAACTCGTGCTGCAGAGGCTGTAGACAGCTTCAGAAGTTGTGTCTTAACCCCTTGCACTACCAGGGAGGCCCTATTTTGGTGATATGTCTCATTTTAATTCATACAAACTTTGGTTATTAGGGCTTTGAGAATGTCCTGAGCTATCTGAAGAGACAGTGGAACTGGCAAAATTAAATTTTTATTATGTCATTTTGGAGGAAACCAAAGACTTAAATGTAGTGCAAATTCTTAACAAAGAAATTGTCACTTGTCCAATTCAGAAAAAAACTAAAAAAGTAGTATCTGGTGAGGTTAGAGCAAGGGCTTTCCTGTTACTCAGTGCTGGGTTGAATTTGACTTCTCCCTCACTTGGTGACCTTGAGCAAGTCACTTCACCTCTCTAAACCTCTGTGAAATCACCAGTAACATGAGGACACCACCATCTCCTAATTCACAGATAATATATGTAGTGTGTGAGGTACTCTCTTGAGCTCTAACTTAAGATTAACGATTGTTATAACAGTCACAAAAAGAATGACGTGTGAGCAATGAAATAAGAACAGAAATAGAAACTACTACATTTCCTAGCAATGCATGTTTGTGGGATTGAATGCTGACTTTTATTGATAGAGAAACCTTTCTTTTACATTTTCTCCTAGAAGTTTTCCCAAATTTTTTAATTCTAATTGATCCTGTTCCTTTTAGGTCCTTTATCATTTCAAGCACAATTTCCTTACTAATTACAGACTGCTTACAACATAAGTTCTTTCATTAGTATTGTCTCCAATTGAATTTAAGTAACTACTCTGCAGGAATTATAGCTTGCTTACTTCTTGTATATAATGATCACCATCCTGCACTGAAATAAGGAGTCAATAAATATTTAAAATGGATAGACCAGGGGAGAACACGTCTGTCCTCCAACCCTTTTGAATGAAACGATGGTTTCATGTATGTTGGCAGAGCCACATTCAGGACCACAGGTATAAGAATGGGGCTGAGACTTCCTCTTATAATGCTCTAACACTCCACAAGCTTTCCTTTTGTAAAGATGCATCTATGGCTCATAAATACCAAATTCTTATTCACTCACTCTCACAAGAACCCAAATAATCCTGTACCTTATTTCGATTACCTTTCAGTTTTCTTCTATCATGTAAGATATGGGAAAGAAAGATAACAAAGCAAAGATTTTCAGGCCCCTTTGGGATCCTGGTTAGGTATCATCTTTGACATCATGGTTTGGCCAGAGGTTGGAATAGGAGGTCACCAAGTTGAAAGGTCCATGCAGGAGGCCGGAATGCAGAAGCCAACCAGGAAGCCCACCTGGGGGACAGGAATGCGGATACCTGCCTGGAGGATTCGGGCAGGAGCCTCCCCCCTCCCCCTATGAGTCTCTTCTCAGACAAAGAACCTCTACCTGCCCCAGGAACCTTTTCGTGCCCTACAAACTTTTCCCTCTGTAGGAGCCCAGTTTCCCACCTGACCTCTCCTCACCCTATAAAACCCTGCTTCCCTCTAACAACGTGTGCGGCTTCACTGACCCCCACCTTGGGTGTGTGAGGTCCGCCCGGGGCGCAATAAACTTTCCCTCCCTTTGAGAAATGTAGCCTGGCTCTCCTTTTCTTTACCGCACCGAACCTTTCACAAGTCTTGACCACAAACTGTAGCCCAGCAGCCCCCCTTATCCATGGTTTCACTTGCTACAGTTTTAGTTACCCATGGCTGACTGTGGTCTGAAAATATTATATACAAACTGTTGTTTATCTCTTTTTATACCTAATTCATAAATATGCATGAAGGGGAAAATACCTGCATATATAGGTACAGTACTATCCATAGTTTCAGGCATCCATGGGGGTTATTGGAATATGTCCCTTCACCTTTCCCTGATAATGGAGGGTCTACTCTATCTAAAGTATTTCCTGTGACATTGATCCAAGAGTAGAAGATTCTGGGTACCAAAGTGCAGGACATTTTAAATAGACTTAATTCATCCAGCAAGATGCTTCCCTGAGACAGTGGTCTCAGATGTGTGTGCTCCATTTTGCCTCAGCAAGAAGAGCCAATGCAGCCCACTTTGTGAGGGCTGTTTGCACTCCATGACCTTAGCAAACACTTCCGAAGCTTCCCTGAACATCTCCAGAATTCTTTTCCATGCTGCTACTCCTCAATCACATTTCTTGCTCTCACTTCATCACCTGTACCTTTTGTTTTCTCCTTCACTTTGTCATCTAAGTATCAGGTTGACTTGAGAATCTTGTCTTCGACTTCTAGGGTCTGCCCTAACTTACAGTGCTATTCTGAGTAGAACGCTATCACTGCAATCCCATCAGTAACATCAGGCAGTTCTTCCCTAATGGTGAGGCCATAAGTGGACCTCTCATAATTCTAAGAGGTAACAACTTTGAATGGGTCAAAGGGTATAGTTGGACAAGTCCATGTTTGTTTTCCATCAACCTCAGCAGTAGTTAATAGCCCACTGTCCTTGATAGCATTTTACTTTTCTAGGAAATTCTGTGGGAAGAATCTATTTAAAATTCAAAGGTCATATTTCCATATATTCTCACTTATTCACATGCTAATGTTTCTGAAACTGTGGTGCTTCTCACATTTGATGTGTCCCTTTCAGGAAATGTTTTTCATCCCCAGATGCTACTGTTGAATTTACAATTCAGTGAATAATTGATGATGTCAACAACCAAGGTATATCTTGCTACCTCTCCTCAAGTTAGAGGTTCTTAAGAACACTTTATGGCTTTGGCTTCATATTTCACTGGATGCATGCCATTTAAGGGATCTAAATGGGAATCTCCTTGAAAGCTGTGAAAACCACCAACTCCTAAGCATCACAAGGCTAGAGGTGCATTAAGCCTGGTTTACACAAACATATTTGCCCACCCTCTGAAATTCCTAGACAAAAGCAACCTTTCCTGATCCAGAGAAGCTGCCAGAACACCACCGTGTCTGAGGTGGAATAGTGGGTAATTCTGCACAGAGATTCAGTGACTGGCCTTTTTACAAATTCTCTGTCTTCCTGATCACCTTAAACATGCAGAACAGCTGGTCATTATCTCGGGAAAAACCTATAGTCCATTTGATCCCATTTACTTTTCTCTCTCATTTTGATTTATAAGTACATGTCATCACAGGGTTCACAATGGAGTTTTACTCAATTTCTCCACTTGCACTCAACATTTCACTTGCTGAAATCACTATTAAGTATGTGAATTTCTTAAAAAAATTTTGAATATTTTCCAATTAGACTCTTGTTCCTAAAGTACATGTGCATATGATCAAAGATAATATTTTAATATGAAAACATATTGTCTTAATTTTTTCTTACTTAATAAGAAAGCATAACTATCTCCATGACCTAGAAGTTTATCTTAAGTTTATTGATAAAAGTATTTCTCCTCTCAACAAATCAGCTACATGATAGTACCCTAAGCTCTGGGAAGGTAAGTGATCTTCTCTAAGAACCCCAAATCTTGATTCTTATAATCTATGTGAGTATAGTGGTATGAGTTCCAGGATCCCCACCAAATATTCCTGAGAATTCAAAACCATACCTAATATGTAACCCCAGGGAACACTAGCTTAGAGAAGATGAAGCCAGGTTAAGGCAATTAAGGTAATTATTCAATTGCATTAAACAGAGAAGCCAAGTAACTCCTTTTATGGTTAATTCTGTAACAACCATTAAAGTCAGTGAGGTTGTGAATATGCACCAGAACTGATTCACACAGAAGTGGTTCTAATTTTACTTTTGCCATCATTTATTGGTCTTTTGATCTTAAGAAGCTACTTAATCTCTCAGCCATATTTTTCTTATTCTGAAAAATAAGCAAAACACTGGATACATGATGATAAATCCCCTCCTTCTGCTCTCCTTCCACGTATATATATATATGGTATAATATACACACACACAAATGGCATAATACTCAAATGACAGTAATTGTTATTACTATACTCAACCCCAGTGAACTTAGGTATCATATATATAACAGGTTTCATTTTTTCCTCACTGAAATGAGAATTGTAATATTTAATTAATTTCTTAGGCTACTATCATTTACCATCTCACTCCCACTCTCTGATTAGAAGTTGAGGAAGTAGAACCAAAATCATGGAAAATTCAAATTTCAAGGAAATAGTACCTATGGAACAGAAAATGGTTCTACAATTTTCTATTTCATGGCAAAAGAGAGGTCTTAAAAAAAAACCTTCAAAACCTTCCATTTATAAGACCCATTAGTGGTTACTAGAAGACAGAGGGGACAGTGAATAAGTAAAATGGGTCAGTTACATGGTGAAGGATAGACTTGAATTTCTAGCAGTGAACTGAATGTAGTACATTGATATAAGTATTGATTCCAATGTCA